ATCAATCCAAAAGGAATGTCTGTCACATAAAATGTGATATAGCTAGTTATACTAGTTACTCATTGCTGAAGATAGCAAACAGAGCCATTTTCAGGGACAATAGAGCTAGTTGTCTCCACCACATCCAGCCCCACTTTCCTCTTCTTGAGAATTAGAAGTTACAAGCCCACAGAAAATCTTGCCTAGGAACATCAACTCCTGGATCAGCCCAAATCAGTCCTTTCATTCCTCTTTGCCCTTCCCACAGTGATTATTGTTAATACCAGACAGGAAAAGGTATACCATTTTGGAAAGATTGTTAATGACTTGTTTGGATGAATAAGACTCTCTTGATAATTTAATGATCTTAAGCTCATATAAATTAATTTCTTCTGTTTTTCTTTTACCATTGCTAAGACCTCTGAACTTTCTCCACTCTTATTATTATCTGCAATTTTATTCCCACTTGTTTTTAAAATCTAAGGCAAAGTTGTACACTGAGGTCTTTCTCAATAGAACAATTTTAGTCTCTGTTGATTCTGCTAGGTAGCAGTTATTTATATGTAATAATCTCTTCCATAACAATATGCATTGAAAAATTCCTTTTGACAAGCCATAGCAAGCTTAATTGAGTCATGATATATACCATTAAATAATTTCCAATGAAGCAAACAGTTCTTTCCCTAAGGTGGCACATGCTTTTGCAGGGTTTCACCCAGACTATATGGCCTCACATTGTTACCACTGTTGGCGGGTGACGAGTCCTTGCTTCCCCAATGTTGAAGAATAACACCAGAAAAGCACGCCGAGGCAAGGTCAGAGTAGAAATTAGAAGTTTACTAAAGGACAGCAGAAAAGACTTCTCCCGGAGGAAGAAGGGGACCCGTGGAAGTGAGGTTGTCTCCCCTTTTTATAGTTTTGGTGATGAAATGTAGGTTGGAAGGCCCGAGGGGTGGGACACAGGTGGGCCAAACAAGTAATCTGGGCAGGAAGGACTTCATTATCACTTCTTTGGGATGGGCTATCTCCAAATCTGTTGGGGGCTGTTTCCTGGGTTCCATTAACATTTCTTTGGGGTGGACTTTGGCCTAGGACCTTTCCGGGAATTCATTAACATTCCATGAGTTGTCCTGCGTTTCCCCCGAATCATTATCAGCATGGCCTCCATTTTAGATTTCACTCGATATGATATTAGACCCGATTTACCTAACTACACTGACTACCTAATTTTAAATCGGGCTTCAACATGACTAGAAAAATTATTATCTTCATTTGTAAAAAGAGAGGTATGGAGTTAATATGAGTCAGAAAATTAAATTTCAAAACAGTTTTATTATCTATCAAGCTTTTTTCCTCCTCAAATTTAGTAAAACTTATTTTTTAAAAGCCTTGGCACTGAATTACAGGTCAACTTTTAAATGTTTTGTTTACTCTCTTGCTTAATAATTCCCCAATGAGAATCCCAAATCAATTCTCTTTAAGTTTAAAATTTATTATGTCACATAATAAGTAATATTAATAGAAACTCTTTTGTTAATATAGTATTTCTGATTTTCTCCTACTGACTTTGCAGCCTAAAGCCATTCCAAATTCTGACATTACTTTTAATGTTTTCAGGACAGATGCTACTAGAGCTTTCAGCACAAGTAGTAAATTATCATCATACATTAGTTAACTTGTGAACCTTCATCTGAATATTCCTCAGATGCCCATGGGATCTGGGTGAGATTATAGCTCCAATAGTAATGGGCTTCATGCTTACTTCCCCCATGCAGTGCAGCAATAAGGCAGACAAAGGGAGATTGTAAACTATTGATCTGAACCATATAAATGGATTGAAAATAAATTGTGCTATTTGCTCTATTTGTCCCCAAAGTCAAATTTACCTAAACACGTAATGCAAATAGTACCATTCAATTGCATCAAAGGACTTCCTGGCATCAAACAAAATTGTTGCTATTGGTTCTAATTTTCTTTTTATTCTAGATGTGTTATGTTAGTCTATGCAGATTTTCTATAAGGATCCATCAGATTTGTGATTATTCAGTTAGGGAGGAAGTATTCTGGTAGCTATTATTTTCTATCTACTTACACTGTATGAAAGATATTTTTCACAATATTAAGGAAGTTTAATATGTAACCTTAAATATAAACCTACATGGATACAGATAATAGGATAAAGAACTATAGGCCATTTAGATTCCAATCCACAGATAACATCTGATCCTTCAAAAATTCAGTACAAAACATGTGAATGCATTATATTTATTCATATCTATTTCTGAAACTAGTGGCTGTTTAGTGCACTAATGGAAGAAAGAACTTAACATGTTGGTAAATAACCTAAATTTTAAAACTATTTTGAAAGTAACTTAAAGCCACAGAAGGTATATCAGTTACTCCTGGCTTTTTAACTGACATTGAAAGGTTGCTCCAAATTTCCATTCTTCAATTTGGTATCTGCAAAGAAAAGGAGGGCATAAAATATCCCCATGGGAAATTTCTGGGTATTACAATCACAAGATACTCTTCTTAAGAACATACCCTGAGATATTTCAATGGTAGGTTTTTCCCCCAAGTATTGATAAGTCCTATAATGCCCTGGGAATGGGTAATTGCATAAAAATAGAAAACTGAACAATGGGGAATCCTTGTAAAGCCAAGTGATAACACTGAGATTTGCTATATTCCATATTCTGGGAGACAGCACAGTGCTGGGAGGAGGGGCTGGGCAACAGAGACAGTTTTAATATGGCTTTATTCTTTTTATTTTTTTGTACAGATATTGAACCCAGGGACACTTAACCATTGAGACACATCCTCAGCCATTTTTTATATTTTATTTAGAGACAGGGTCTGGCTGAATTCATGAGTCTGGTTTTGAACTCGTGTTCCTCCTGCCTCAGCCTCCCAAACTTCCACCACACCCAGCCTTGGCTCTACTCTTTTCTTACCAACATAACTTTAGCAAAATACAAACAGCACTGAGCTTTAGTTTTCTCATTTACAAAAATGAGGATAAAATACTCACTATTGGCGTTTTAAAGACCAAAAAAGACAATATATATAAAGAATTTAATCAACCAATGCTCAATAAATGCTGCTTCATTATAATTATTATAAATAAAGCAATATATATTTATGTAGTGTATAAATATACAGATGCATTTTAAAGTAATCATGGAAGAGTCTAATCCAATGTCACAACAACTATTCAAATTAACTTTCATGGCATTATACTAGGAAAATAACGATACTCAACAAAGTGTACTGTGAAAATTTACTTTGTAATTAAACTATACAAAAGAAATGCACTTTTTAAACCCATAGGATCTTTTTTTTTTGTATTTAAAATTTTTTAGGTGTAGTTGGACACAATACCTTTACTTAATTCATTTATTTTTCTGTGGTGCTGAGGATCGAACCCAAGGCCTAACATATGCTAGGTGAGTGCTCTACTGCTGAGCTACAACCCCAGAGCCTAAATCTATAGGATCTTAAGACAGGATTTAAAATAGAAAAAAAAAAAAAGAAGAAAAAAAAAAAGGCACAAATAATACAAAACAAAAGAAGCACAAAAACTTTTCCATTATCATTAGTCTTTGGTACTGATTCAGTGTACTTGATTGGGTCTCAGAGACCTAGTTTTATTTTATAAACACATTGGTTAGATTTTTTAAAAGGTGTTAATAAAATGAAGATACAGAAAAAGTCCTCATAGGAATTCCCAGTTCTTTAAATCTGCCTACATATGCTTACAAAATAAAAAGTAGGTAGTGAGCAGATAGTCTCTAGTTTAAATATTCAGAATACAATGAACAATATAAGAGTACTCCGCTTCAGCAGAATTTCATATTTCTACAACCACAAAGTTTTTTCTTTTTTTTAAAAAAACCCTAATTTCCAAACAGATATCTTTAGAAGTATGCTTCATTGGGCTGGGGATGTGGCTCAAGCGGTAGCGCGCTAGCCTGGCATGTGTGCGGCCCGGGTTCGATCCTCAGCACCACATACAAACAAAGATGTTGTGTCCATTGAAAACTAAAAAATAAATATTAAAAAAAAAATTCTCTCTCTCTCTTAAAAAAAAAGAAGTATGCTTCATAATTTTTCTTAATAATTGGTAAAATATGTTTGGACTCATTGAAGTAATTTTTGGAGAAAACACATGATGCAAAAATTGAAGTTAAAACCTTAAGTACACAAAAAGAAACATACACAATATTCCCAGGATATATGTAAACAGAGAGAGCCACTTAGTAAATGGTATTGGGTTTTGGTAATAGTACAATCCACTCTCATTAGGCACCTCCCTCTCATGCATTAATAAGTGACATCATTTTCTCCTATAACATTTTATAACAGAGTGAAATAAAAAGCCCCTCCAGATTGGAACTGTAAGATAATCAGATTCTGTAGTGCTCATTATGACTGCAATTATGTAACAAAACTCTCCAAATATAGTTCAGTTATTGCAGTTATTAATCATCCTGGTTTTGTTTCAAGTACTTGCTTATAGCCTGCTGGATAGACTCCATTATTCTAGAAGCTGAATGTCGAAAGTCAAAAGTGTGCATGTGAATCTGCTGTCCTAAAGGCCTTTCAACATAATTTACCCTTTCAATTTGTATTTGTGAATACAAAAAAAAAAAAAAAAGAAGAAAAAAAGGGAGGGAGGGCTAAAGCTGGTGTCAATTGAGTCACTGACCTTTGTAGTAAACAGAAGATAGTCCTTAACAGAAAACAACTTTGCAAATAAGAAACCTATTTTTTCAGAACTCAAAATTGTACTGCTTAAGAAGTTAGTCTCAGAATACCAATCAGTTCTTAGAAAAAAAGAATCTGTACATTTCATAAGGAGGAAACAGTAAGAGTGCTGGCAAATATGCATTTTTAAAGGTCCAAAGCACCAACATCATGGGTAGAATGTAGTTCTAAACATTTTATGCATAAAACCATGTATTCTAATTTAAATATAAAATGCCAAGTAGAAGACAGCAGATTTATTATAGAGAATAAACACCATCTTCATCACCTTAAATTGTTCCTACAGATATATTTCTAGGAAAAGAAAATACACCTGAAAAATTTTCAAGGCTAGATTCTAAATGCTAAAATATTAAATAAATAGGATTCCAAACAGACCAAAGGAAAATTGTTATATCATCATTTAAATATTAGCATGTAGAGAGCGTGGAAACATAAACATAATTATACATCAAAATTGTTTACAAAATTCATGTCACCGTTTTCCTGTACTCTATGATTTTTTCAATTTGGCTACATACATTGGGCCCCAGGCTTTGCCTTTATCTGGGATCACCAAAAGTCCACATTCCTGGCCAGTGGGAGCAAATGTGAAGTCTTGGGAGCAAGTCCTTGCTATTTCCCTAATGTCCACAGGCATGACGTTACTGTAGGAATTTAAAGTTTCATTGATCACATCTTGATTTTCTGCCTTGGAAAGTGTGCATGTCGAGTACACAAGTACCCCTCCAGGACGTAAAGCTTTAATTGCAGACCTACATGCAGAGAAAAATGAGAAAATAAGTTAGGTATATTGAAAGGAAACTAGGGGAAGATTATATACTTGGAACTAACCATACTCTGACTCAGAATATAATAACTTGAGATGTTTTCTAGCAATATATCTGCTTCTTTGAAATGGCAATCAGATCAATCAAAATGGAAAGGACAAAGGAGTATATCTGACTAGTTGGTGGTTTTGTTCTTTTAGGGGTAGGAAGAAAGGGGTAAAGCATGGAAAAACTGATTTATCTTTGAGTAGATGGAAGTAAAAACAGATATTAATTGAAAGTGTACATAAAAAAAAAATCATTGATTCCAAACTCCATTTATTCAAAGATGGGCAATCACGCAAAAAGTTGGAGAGTTTTTATCTCATAAAATGAAATAAACTATTTGGAAAAACCTAAGGCAGCCACTGGGGGGTACTGACTCCCAAACCAAAGAACTATGAATTTATTCTACTTTGAAGGAGCCTCTAGAGTAATAGCCAACTCACCATAAAGCCTATCAGCAGGAAAAAGGTCCCATCATTAAAATAAGCCTCTAATACTTTCAGTGTTTCGTTACAAAATAAAAATGTATAACCAAGGGTTTCCAGATAATTAAGGATGAGAAATGCTTACCAATGAGTAAAAGAAAGAATGCAAGCACAAGAACAACCACCACAAAATGTTACCTAGGAAGAAGCAGAAAATTCAGGGACAAAAGAGAAATAAGACCTAATATATACAGAAAGATCAATAAATGTATAGCACCTATTAAATAAAAACAGAATGCCACGAGAAAAGACCAAGACGACAGACCTTGGAAATTAAATGCATGTTTGCTAAAATATAGAATATTCTGTGGAAGTGTTGGGAAGTCAAGGTTGAAATGCTCCATTAGAACAAAAACAGACTGAAAATAGAGAGGATCAATCAAGTGGGTCATAAATTCAAACTGACAGAACCAGAAAGACAATATAAGAAATATGGGGTAGGGGTGTAAAGTTCATGAAATTATAAGAGAATTTCTCAGAGATAAAAAGGAGGAAATAACTCTTCAGATTGAAAGAACTTATCAAGAGGCTGGGACATTCATTATTATTTATTGAGCATCAATTATATGCTGTTATTGCTCTAGGATGTCAAATATGTGTGGATGAATGAATAAAATAGAACAACTTCAACAACAACAAAAATAGCCTTACCTTCATGAAAATTATATTCTGGTGATTATGTCAGGGAGACAATATAACAATGTCAGGCGGCTGAATTCCTAACACCCTCTACCTGAGAATTTGACTGTATTTGGAGACAGGTTCTGCACAGAGTTAATTAAGTTAAAGTCAAGTTATTAAGGTGGGCTCTACTCAAATATGTCTGGTGTTCTTACAAGAAAAGGAAATTTGGACACAGAGTTACAAGAGGAAAAATGTAGAAACACAGGGAAAAGAAGCTATCTAGAAGCTATGGAGAAAGAACTCAAAAGAAACTAATTCTGCTAACATCTTTATGTAAACTTCTAGCCTACAGAACTGTGATTGTTTAAGTCACTCAATGCAGTACTTCGTTAAGGCAATAAAAGCAAACTTTATACAAAGTTTATACACACATAAATATACAAACACAAAAATATATGTATCTTATATTTTATTTAGTATGCAATTGAGCAATAGGCATTATGTAAACAATTAAAACAGGATTAGGGGTGCCTGGATAGTGAGGGGATTGCAATTTTAAAGAGGACGGTCAGATAGGATGTCCCTTCAGAATGTGACATTTGAACAAAGACCTGGGAGGTAAGGAAGTGGATCAAGCAGATATCAAAAGGGAAGACCACTGTACACCAGAGAAATAAGGAATAAATATGGTTATGAAAAGAGGAAGCCATCTGTGGCTGGGGCAGGATGAGCTAGGAAGTGGTGTGAGATAAGATCAGAGTGAAGAGAGGGCGTAGAGGGTCCTGTGGAATACTGCAAAAACTTTAACTATGTAATGAACAAAAAGCAACCACATTTATGATATATCATTCTTTTTTTAAAAAATATTTTTTAGTTGTAGTTGACACAATACCTTTATTTTATTTATTTATTTATATGTGGTGCTGAGGATCGAACCTAGGGCCTCACATGTGCTAGGCGAGCACTCTACTGCTGAGCCACAACCCCAGCCCCTGATATATCATTCTTACATTTCAAAACTTCAAGAATAAAAAGAGGATATTAAATGCTTCTGGAAGAAAAATGGATCCTCATTAAAATGGATCATTTAGGGGTCCAGGAATAAGACTGGTATCAGTGGAAGAGTACGTTTCAAATCCATAGAAAAAGTAATTTAAAGTGAATTCCATTTGCAGCCAACTCATCAAATAAATATGAAGAATACAGGGATATCTGCTAACTCAGAAATTTTACCTACAGCAAAATGAGGAGGTAAATCAAAGAGGAGGAATGTGATCCAGAAAAAAAAAAAAAAAAAAAAAAAAAGAACCCAACATAGGATAGAAAGGAAGGAAATGAAATATCTAAAAGAGCTGTGTGAGAGGGCTGGAAGGCAACTACTCCAGACGGGAAGGAACAGAGTTTTCTAGAAAGAAAGGAGAGGAGCAGAAGAAAACAGATGAAATGACTGAGAATATAAAAAATTGAAGATTTGGTACACAAATCTGTAGAAAGAGATTGACTGATTTTCTCATCTAATTTTGTTCTAGAAAAATTCTCCTTTCAGTGGTACTCCAATAATAATTTTAAATGAATAGAGAAGGAAACAGTTTGAAGACACTACTCCATCCTATAGTGAATAGTTTGTAGAATTAGACAACATATATACCATATTTAGAGTCACTCTATAGAATGATACTCGTAATTCAATACAGATTATAAAGTCACAGAAAGAATACTAGCAATGTTGACAACATGAAAATAAAAGTAACACCGTAAGGTACTGAAAAGTGCAAGGTAGAGAAATATGAAAGGGGGGGGCATGTAAATATTCTTACTTTACAAAAACAGAAGCCAAAAGACAATGCCTCTATTGTTTTAAAAAAGAGAATAAAGGTTCAAGTGTACTTAAGATAAACTTTCCACTACGATAGAACTAGAAATGTAGTTCTAAATATATAGAGCTGACTGAGGGAGAAATGGATTATAGCATGAGAATACACAATACAGGGTGGTATATGTAAAATAATTCCTAGCAAGAGGTCTGCAGTCAACATCTACAGTTGATAAAGGATAAACATGTTATTTACAGATTTAGCATGACCTAGAGAATAAAATTAAGATCAGAAATAATTAGAAGTAGTTGTTTTGAGTAGTAAGACTATAGGAAAAGAGGGAGTGCAGGGAAAAATCCTCTTTAACCAGGTGTTCATTTATATTTTTATATTTTTACCCGTGGGATTTATTTCTATAATAATAAAAATGGAAGGGGAGATCTGACAGTAGGATAAATATCAGCCTTTTCCCACAGAGGTCAGTTATTTTATTTTGTTGTAATTTTGACTGTTAGGGATAACCTCTCTGAAGAACATATTCCCTAAGGTTTCATATAATCAAAATTTTATGGTATCCAGAATTTCCATGTATTCACTTATTGATTAAAATATGTGGGAAGTACTGCCATGGAAAGCTTACCTTTCAGTGTTTGTTGTTGGTCTCTAAAAATAAATTTTAATATGTATCTTCTTATTTCTTACTATCCTCTAAATATAGCTCATGGAAACAAAAAAGGCTCTTATTTATACCTTAAGGATGTGAACTCTCAATAAGATAACACCCTGTAGTAAGAATAATGTCCATATCATAATCATCTGAATTTGTAAATATGTCAAACCCCAATCCCAGAACCTATAAAAATGTCACGTTACATGAAAAGAAGGCATTTGCAGATATGACTAAATGAGGAATCCTATGTTGGGGAAATTATTCTGGATTATCTGAGTGGACCCAATATAATCACAAAGGTTCTTATTGAAAAATCAGCCTCTACCTCAGAGCAAAGCCTGTCCAAGGAAGGGACATGACCTTTGTCCTTGGAAAAACCCACAGAGCACTCCTAGGCACATTCCCACCCTGCTAAGTTGTTTATCTACAAATAACAGGAGAGATCTGCTGCACCAGGTGTCCCTGACTCAGTCAGGCTAGGTGGAGATCCAAAGCAACCCCCTAGCAGTCACCAATCAGCATGAGACAGGGAAATACCTGGGATGCCAGATGACCCTCCCAGTAGTTTATGGTAGTTGATAACCTGTTGGGAAACCATGTAGTTCAGCACGTACACCCCTCTTGGCTTAAACCAATCAGTTCAAACGAATACCCCTTTTGTATTGACCAATCACCCCTATCCAACTTGTTCCTGCCAGTGAATGTGTTAATCATGTTTTAGAGTTGTTATTTGATTTTCCCGCGGTATGTGATGATTTGCTATGATGTATGTGAAGTCCCTGCCCTCTCCAAAGAATGTATAAAAATGTTGCAAACCCTGGGCTGGGGCCTCTCAGCATCACCATTTGCTGTGTGAGAGGTTTCCTGGCCTAGGCAGCTCTCAATCACCTGTTCTATACAGAGCAGGCATGTTGGGTTCTGCCAAAGCCGCTTCCAACTTTTCTGTCTGGGCCCGGAGAGCAATTGGCGTGAGTACACAGTGTCCCGAATCCCGATCTGCCTCGGATGCCTGGAGGTGGATGAAAGAGTTTGGAACAACTGCGGAATTCCGGTCTGGGCTACACTCAGACGTATTCCTAAGGTCCTTTCTCTTGAGCCCCCTCCCGACAGCCCTCAGGGGTATCTAGGGTGATTGGTAGATGAATGGCACTGAGGGAAAGCCCCAATCACATTTGCCTCCATATGGGCTACGCAACACTCCCAACCCCGCATCCATTCCTCCTGGATGCTTCCCTTCCTTCTCAGGTCAGAAATGTTAGCAATTCAGGTTGTAGGACTGAGAAAGACATAAGATAATTAGTAAAATCTGCCCAGGTTCTCTAAGGTGCATAGATAACTTTCAATAGT